CTTGTCATATTGATTTGTTAAGAATTGATGTGGGAGGTGCTAGTCATTATGCCTATATTAAGCATATGAGCAGACTTATTAACAGCCAGAAAAGTAAATTTTGTAGTGCTTCGTTTTTCTGTAAATATTGTCAAAATGGGTTTGGAACTCCCGAACTCCTAAAGAAACACTATGACAAGGGTTGTATGGAAGTTGAAGGTCAACAAATAAAAATGCCTAAGCCAGAAGAAAAAATGAAATTCAAGCATCACTTTAAAAAGTTAAGGTGTCCATTTGTTATTTATGCTGACTTTGAATGTTTAACTGAGGAAGTTGATAAACCAACAGATGAAAGTATTAAAACTTACAATTATCAAGAACATAAACCCTGTGGTTTTATGTTGAATATGGTTAATTCAGTTGATGGTTCTAATTATGAATATTTATATCGAGGAAGTGATGCCGTTAATGTTTTTTGTAGTAAAATTAATGAGATAAGAGAAGACATTAAAGACAAAATGAAAGAAAATAAAGAAATTGGTATGAGTGATGAAAATAAGAAAGACTTTAAAAATGCAACTCATTGTTTTATTTGTGGTGACGCGTTTAGATATGATTATAAGAATGAAAAGGAAGCAGAGAAATATAAGAAGGTTCGTGACCATTGCCATTTCACAGGTAAATATAGGGGTTGTGCTCATAGCATTTGTAATTTAAACTTTTGTCATAAATATTTTAAAATACCAGTGTTTTTCCATAATATGAAAAATTATGATGGACATTTAATTATTCAAAATGCTGATAAGTTAAGTAATCAGAAGAAAATAGATGTAATAGCACAGAACAGTGAAAAGTTTATTAATATCGGTTTTGATTGTTTAAGTGTTAAGGACAGTTTTAGTTTTATAACTGCTTCTTTAGATAAATTAGTATCATTGACAAAATATGACAACACAGATGATAAAGATAAAAGAAAATGGATAATAAAAGACAACTGGCAGAACAATTTCAGATTTAGTAAAAATAATGATATTATTAAAAGTGAAAAATGTTTGGACTTATTAACAGAGAAGGGAGTTTATCCGTATGACTATATGAATTCAATAGAAAAGTTTGAAGATGAAAGTCTACCAACTAAAGATATGTTTTACAGTAGGTTAAGTGAGGATAATATAACGGATGAAGACTATGAAAAAGCAAAAGTAATATGGACACACTTTAAGATTAAAAACATGGGTGAATATCACAATTTGTATTTGAAAACAGATGTTTTATTATTAACTGATATTTTTGAAAATTTTAGAGATGTATGTATTCAAGATTACGGTTTAGATCCAGTATATTATTACACACTGCCTAATTTTGCTTTTGATGCTATGTTAAAATTAACTGGTGTTGAAATAGATTTAGTTTATGACCAAGATATGTATGAAATGATAGAGACCGGACTTCGTGGTGGGATGACACAGACTGCCTGTAAGAAAGTAGAGGCAAATAATATTTATATGGGCGATGATTTTGATGAAAGCAAAGAAAGTAGTTATATTAACTATTTTGATGCTAATAACTTATATGGATTAGCAATGATACAAAAACTGCCATACAAAAATTTAAAGTGGGATACTAAAATAACAGAAGATGATATTTTAAACTATGCTAATGGTAATACTGGATACATCTTAGAAGTTGATTTAGAATACCCTAAAGAACTGCATGATTTACACAATGACTATCCAATGGCACCTGAACTTATGAATGTTAAAGCAGATATGTTATCAGATAAACAAGTTGAAATTTATGAAATACTGAATAAGAAAAAACCTAAAGATGAAAAAACAAATAAATTAATATTGAATTTAAAAGACAAAGAAACGTATGTAGTCCATATTAGAACTTTACAGTTTTATTTAAAACACGGATTGAAACTAAAGAAAATACACAGAGCAATAAAATTCAGTCAGAAAGAGATATTAAAACCTTACATTGAATTTAACACTGAGAAAAGAAAGAATGCCAACAATGATTTTGAGAAAGATGTTTACAAATTAATGAATAATGCCGTGTTCGGAAAAACGATGGAAGACAAAAGGAAACACTTAGATTTTGAAATAGTGAGTGATGAAACAAGATTTATGAAATGTGTTAATAATCCATCATTTAAACATAGTCATATTATCAGCGATAATTTAGTAGGAGTTGAGAAACAAAAAGCACAATTGAAATTAGATAAACCTATATTCATTGGAATGAGTATTTTAGATTTGAGTAAGCAACATATGTATAAGTTTTATTATGATGTTATGAAACCTAAATACGGAGATAATATTAGAATGGTTTATACTGACACTGATAGTTTTGTATTTCATACTAAGACTGATGACATTTATAAAGATCTTCATGATATTAAAGATGAAATGGATTTTTCAGATTATCCTATTTATCATAAATGCTATGATACTACTAATAAAAAGACGTTGGGTAAATTTAAGGATGAATGCAGTAGCAAAATTATTACAGGGTTTATTGGACTTCGTCCTAAGTGTTACGCTTTTCAAATCTATGGAGAAGAAAAAGAACATAAGAAATGCAAGGGCACAGCAAAGCACATAGTGAGGAGGCAACTGACATATAAAGAATATGATAAGGTTTTACAAACTAATGAAGTTATACATAAATCATTCAATAGTATTAGAAGTAAAAACCATAAAATTTATAGTATTAGAACAACAAAGATTAGTTTGAATAGTTATGAAAATAAAAGATACTGGACTAATACAGGTGATAGTTTAGCATATGGTCATTATTCTATTGAAAATGGAATAATATGATGACATAGTCATCACTGGAGAATTAAAGAGATGATGACTTAATGTAGTAATGAAGATACACGCAGAAATAAAAGAACGAATAGAATTAATAAAAGAAATGATAAAGGTAAAAGAACACTATGAAGGTGAAAGAGATAAATATGCTTTGCTAGATGTTAAATACTTTAAAACTAACAAGAAAGACTTTTATGAAGGGTTTAAATCATGCCTTGAATTAGAGCATGATGAGACGCAGTTGAAAAAAGATTTTAATGAATTAATAAAAACTTGTGAATTAGCAGGTGAAAGTTCCGTAAATTATGTGTTTAGTTTTGACGGAGTGGTCAGAGGATATGAAAGACTTATAGAAATACAAAAAGAAAAAATATCTCATGTACTTCGTTAAAAATGACTTAAGGAAATAATGACTCAATATATTATAGTGAAATGTTGTTTAACTATAACAAGTGCGAATGCTGTAAAAATACAAAGAATGATGTTAATATAACATTGTATAAGTTATTACCCGACAATCTATGTAATAAAATAAGTGAATATAATGTATACTGCAATCAATGCTGTATAACAAGAGACCTTGAAAAGTTTTTTGTTGAAGAACATAAGGATAAGGGATATACAAAGTTTCAATTACAATTAAAATTCTTTATGCGACACCAAGCAAGATTTCCTATACACTTTTACCAGAAGATTTCCAGAAAGTCATTTGAAAATGAAATTGATGAATTCTTTAATAATATAGATTTAATTAGGAGGTTTGGAGGAATAAACGCAATTAAACCATATAAAGCATTTGTCAAACAATACCGTTATTTGTTTGAATGGATTGACTGGCATTTATTAGACAAAGATAAAATAAACGAAGTCTTGTACGAATTTAGAGTAACTGAATATAGTATATGGTATTACTACAACACTAAATATAAAGTATGTCTATTAGTTAATTTGTTTTTCTGGGAATATATTTATTCAATAATAGGAAAAGACAATATCAAATATATAGATGAAGATGATATAGGTAAATATGTAGATTACATATTTGAAGACATATTGCCTGACTATTATTTTAACCCATAAACCTTACAATAAAAATAAATTGTAAGGTTTATGATTTGTAATATTTTGTTAATAGTTTAAGTTTATATTCATTCTTTGAAAATGACTTAAGGAAATAGTGACTTAATATATTAGTGAAGAAATGAACGGTATTAAAATCAATAAGTATATTAATAAGAAATGCTATGACTGTTGCCACTTCAAAAAAGAAAATATGGAATTGTATAAATTAAATTTACCTAATGGAATAATAAATAATATTATTGATTATGCTTTGGGTGAAGAAGATTTATGTAAAATTTGTAGAAATTGGAGGTTTTATCAAGAATTAATCAAATGTACTTTAAGTATTAAACGATTTAATGAAAGAAATGTTGAAGATGACATTTTGATATTTTTAACTGTAAATAAATTACCACCTTACGAATATGTTAAACAGTTTCTTAAAATCAGTAAGAAAAAATATGTAATGATTTATGATATATTAAGGATGTTGTGTCATAGTCAAAAGAAAGGAGAAGATATTAAAGAATATATCAAATTTTATATTGAAATTTATAAAAAGTTTAATGTTAAAAATACAGTGAGAGATATTAATATTATTTTTAAAATGATGTATGAAATAAATGAGATTTGTCAATTAAATTATTATCCTGAACTTAAATTATAAATTACACCATAAACCTTACAACTTAATTTTATTGTAAGATTTATGATTTGGATTTATAGATTTAGTTTCAAGGAATATTGATTATATTTTCAAGGACGTTTTACTAGTATAAAGAAAAGCAACATCTTAAAACAAATAAGCATAAACGAAATTTAGAAATGAAACAGGCAGAAGAAAATTAACATTATTTTTATTAATAAATATTTTACATAAAATTGTATAAGGTTAATATGTAGAATAACTTCTTAACCTTATATAATATTTCAATGAAGTAAAATTATTTTCAAGTAATTAGATAAGGTTAATGAATATGAATAATGTATTAACCTTATTTAATATTTGAATTATAAACCTATATTTTATATTTTGGTAAGTTGTTCTGAAAATTATTTTACTTCTTTCAAGATATGTTTTACTATTTTTTTAGGGGGGGGGCTTGGACCGAAGCAGTTTGAGACATCCGAAGGAGCCATGATGGCCAGGACGTTATCCAGGATCGCCATGAAGAGTTCCACATCCATCCGGCTGAACCGCGGTAAGTGCCGCAGCCTCGAGGCAGCTTTTTGGGGCCTTTTTCCCCCCTTTTTTTCCCCCTGTTTTCCTTTTTCTGTTTTCTCCTTTGGTCTTTTCATGTTTTCCTTATTTTGCTTTCTTATTTTTCATGTTTTCCTTTTTTTCCCCTTCCTTTTCATGTTTTTCCCTTCGGCGCGGCTTCTTGGCGCTGTGTTTCCGCGTTTCGGGGAATTTTTGGCATTGGGAAAATACTCGTTTTTTTTCCCCCCCCGAACTCCAAAGCCAAGGATCTGAGATGCGGCGCTCCAGGAAATCGTGAGTCTTGAATCCAGGAGTAAACACTTGGGAATTCGTAGAACCATACCGCAACTGTCCATCAATTGAGGGAGCAAACTTGCAAAAAGGAGTGTGACCTTTGCATTCTCACTGTGGCATTGAAGGATGCGAGTGCTGGTGCTGGTCCATCAGGCAAGCTAGAATATGAATGGAACCATGCTCACATCCAGTGCAGACGCCAGCTAGTTGGACCATGCTTGTTCCAATGATACTTCTTTCATTGCAAGTCTCCAATTGCTGTTGATAGTAGATCGAGCTTCTCATGCTGTGCCCTCAACACCAAGCACTTTTTGAAAGGCATGCATCTGGATCAGTGACCACACCTATCTTTGATCGCTAAGAAGCACAATGTCGCGTGTGAATATAACAGCCCAATCTAAGATTCACTCGCATATATATATAGATATGACTGTGCATGAAATCTGCTCCATTGTGGCTGGGCCCGGCAATTTGACAGAATTCCCCCTTGCATGCCGCCGCAAGCAGCTTTCACTCATGCAGCATTTGCACATAATGCTCAAATTGTTGGAGCTTCCATGAGTTTACTATCAATCTGTTCAAGTCATCTTACTTTGCACCTGTGCCTCATGTCATTCTATCTATCCAACTCTCTTCACACTAAGCTAGCACCTGTGCAGCCATTCTTGCAAACAGGCATCCCCCGTAAAACATAGTACCAGGTAGATTCAAATTCTGCCTCCTTTGATTCACAAAATATAGTAATACACACATACGCATATATAATTTAAATACATGCTAATCTCTATATATATATACACATACATAATGGTAAAACAAAACAAAACAAAACACAAACAGCAACACTGCAGTTCATCTCCAACAACCGCTGCTCCCCAAGACAGCCAACTGCAAGCACTCCACTGACCTCTCGAGGCACAAGCTATCTATACACTTGCTTCACATCGATGGGTCGCAGTTGAACAGTGCCAAGCGATGTTGGAATCTTGTAGCACAGGACCCCGCGTGGATGTTCAAGCCTCTGAGAGAAACTGCTCAAAGGTCAGACTCTTTTGAGGAATTTCACGTGCATTTTGCAAAGCAAAAGGCACAGGGATCAACTCACGATGTTTGCTATGCCGAGCAGCATCTGAACACCCCCAAGGGCGGCCTAAGCTCACCGAATGAAAATCGGACCAATGGATGGCCGGAACACAAAGCTCTGTTTGAGGGCGAGGCAATTTTCTCCAAACGGATAAAGGCCGGACACAGCCTTTCAGCTTCACAGGGCAAGGAACTTCATTGAGGACACGCTCACGAGCCTTCCTGAAAAAGAATGCTACCTGCTGTTGCAGGAAGCTGATTTCTCCCAGCTGTGAAACATCTGCTTTTGCTTGGGAATTTACTGGTCTTACTTTCTTGCTCTACATTCAGCCATGCTCAGGCTGAAACCCAGTCGGCAACTTGTTAGCACACCTGCGGTCTTTTATGCGTCGCAGCAGGCAGCGTTAGCCTTCTGGAGTGGTCGAACAAGCTGGGTCTGTCAACATAGGGGGACCTCCAAAACGGCGGTTGTCCTCCTGGTTTTTCTTCAGCCAACCTGAGGAGGGCACCCTCAAAAAAAAAGCGAGACACACACACACATGGCTGTGGGTCAACACCCTGTCCCCCTGGTGAACATCAAAATAGGCGGCAAATGGACGTTCATCCACCCCAATATGGAGCCATACGATATGCCCCATGGCCACATGTTGGACGGGTCTTTGACTCCACGGCACCAAGCACTATTAGCTGCTGCGAGTGGCTACTACTGACTCCAGCTAATGTTGCAAATGTTGCCAGAATACGCCAGCCTCTAATCCACAGCAAGCCTCCAAATGCTGACCTCTAGCCAATGGCGTCCGGCGTATTCGGCCTGAGGCTGGCACCCACAGGAGGCAGGCGCGGAAGTACTTGGAGTCTGTGGCCAAGTAGCCGAAGATGGCCAAGGACCACATGACGAACCTGGCACTGATCCGCTTGAACCTGCCCTGTGCTCCCAAGAACCACAGGACTCCTGGGCCATCCGGATGTCTGCAACAGAAGGGACTCCCCTGCGAATCAAGAATGGAGCAAGAGGGGGTCCAATTTCGAGATGGTTTCTACAGGGGTTGGTTTTTCTGGGCTCCACGCCAATGTAAAGAGGTTGTTTTCTGCAAAATGCTGCGCCGAGAAGCATCACCGCGAAGTACATAAAGGATCCGCACACCGAGGAGCCGAGGGTCGAGCCATCCAGGATCAAGAGGGCGGGGAAGTTTCCCACTGCCAGGCCCATGCCAACGCCAAGGATTCCTCGGCGAACGCATCACTTTCGCCTGGCACTGATGTATCTCAGTTGTTCAGTGACCGAGGAAAAAAGGGGAACCCTTTTTTGGGAAGACCATTTTCAGTGGGGCAGCCACCAAGAAAAATGGGAAAATAATTGGTGCCACTGAACAACTGAGGTATGAAATGGATTTCCGCCGCAGCGGTTGCGGCTTCGGTTGTGCTTCTTGATGTTGCTGCAGCTGTAGTGATTGTAGTAGTGGCAGCGGCGGTGGCGAAGGTGGTGCTGGCGGCGGTGGTGGTGGTAGTGGTAGTTGTAGTGGCAGTGGTAGTGTTAGGTTGAAATTAGCTTGGTTGCTGTTGCAGAATAAGATGTCAGCTGCTAGACACAAGTCGCACGCTGCTGTGGCAGCAGCTCACTTGCTTTGAGGCGGTTGTCACTCAAACAAAATGACGCCGGGGATCTTCAAGCAATCAAGCTGCTCATGAGTCGTTAGACAAATATTGCAGTGCCGCTCTGCTGCACATGCTGGCAACACAATCCTTTTAGCCTTGCTCCCCAGGTCATTTCCAACACGCAATCTATTGCCCGCAACCTCTCCCTTAGCCAATATTCCTCGTTTCCACTCTTCCTGACCTGCGTACTTCCCAACCCATGGCCCAGGCACAAAGAGCTGTACATGGCCCAGGTGCAGCTCTGAACTGTGCAAATTTGCAGCTTTGCTTCACGAACAGAACCAAACTGCCAGACACACGCCTTTAGCCTCATGAGCCAGGCTTCTGTTGATGTTCACATCAAATGAAGAGCCCGAGGTCTGGGAGAAAATGAAGGAAGTGGCCACCACGCAGCCACAGCTGTAGTTGCGGCTGTACAAGGACCATAGCAGGGCCAACGTCCACGACCTAGTTGCCAGGTGAGATCCACATGCATCTTTGTCTCTGCCTGAAATGGCCTTTTGGAGTGATTACTTCTTTTTAGCCAAACCATCAGTCAACACGAATTTCATGGCCCCATGAATCTTCGACATCTGCAAGTTAAGTAAATTGGTGTCACACAATTCGAAGCAACCATGAACAAAGAAGAACGAATCCTGACCGCCGCACTCACCCAACACTCCTCAACCACTTTACATGCACGCACACACACACACAATTGCGAAGGCAACAGTTGAGCCCCGTCAAGATTTGCCATGCTTGAGACGTTTGCAACATCCTTCCCACTTGACATTAAAGAAAGGAAAACACCATACCATGCCCAATTTTTTGGGGTCATGGCTCGATCACCTAGTGTGATCCGATGTGATTCTCACGAATTCACTCATGCCAAGCTGGCAGGCTTGCCGGCCCTCGGCTCGGCCCAGTGGCGTGGTGTTCCTCAGCGCAAACCAATGCCGCTCCGCCCAGTCCGAAGCCGCCGGCGTCGCCGCCGGCTTCGCCGCGGAAGGTGCGTCCGGACTGAGGCTTCGGAAAGCCTTGGGCCAACTGCGGAGCTTGTCCACGAAGGCTAGATGCCTTGAAGACCTGGCCGATCATTGGAATTTGAGCTTTTTTGAGGCTACCCCCATTTTTCTTTTTGCGGGGGTGGGGGGATCATTGGAACAGGGCTCTTTGAGGCTACGGCCCTTGTTTTTTCGGGGAAGGTGGGGGGGGTTTATCCCAAACCCGAAGGAAGCTTCTCCTCTTGGGTTTTACCCCTATTTTGGGTCACATCTCCATTTGGGCAGTCACAAGTGGCTCCCCTGCCTCTTCTCCTGGGCAAATCCTCGCACCACCGCCAGCAGCACTTTGTCCCCCCGATTCCCCAGGCGCTGCAGTTCCGCGCAGGTCTCCTGACCGATTGAGACCGATGTCGGTCAAACTGCGGCTCGCTCCACAAATTTGTTAGCTTGCCTGTTGGTTTATTTCCATTAAAAGGTACAGACTGAAATGGGTATCGAGCTTGTGAGGGAAGGCGCAGATGGGCTGATTTCCTTTTGGTCTGCATTACACAAAATCAAAACAGGTAGAAGAGGCCGTTGGGTCACTTCCTGAGTCGATTGGCCAACCAAAGGTCCAATCTTTCTGTTTGCCACTAAAATGGACTTCCCAAAAGGCATAAATCCAGGAACTCTGGAAGTGAGTTGGAGCAGCACTACATGTGAGCGCTCATGCATTTGCATGGGCTCAGAAATGGCAGCCCCACGCCAACAAGTAAGCACTCTTGTACCAGCCCTTGCCAAAGAGGATTTCTGCGACACAGCACGATGCATTAAGGTAAGTGTGCTTTCGGCCGTCGCCCTTTTGCATTTACCGGTCGCAGTTCAGCCACTGTTCATGTAGCGGAAGAAAGAAAAACAAAACCGACGCCTCGCATTCGGAGCGCATGCCATGTGGGTGCCCAGCGCCCATTGGGACACGGTCCCGATGCACGAACTTGCTGATTTGCTGACACGACAAACGGACATACCGCGTTGATCGTTTGCCAAACTGGTTGCCGCAATGGTTACACTGTTTGTTTCACTGAATCACTGAATGCTTGCCCGAGTGCAGTTGTGCGCGGAAGACACATGTGTGCTTGAACACCCACACAATTGGACATTGGCGGGCTCCCAGCTGGAAAACAAACATACTTGAAGATACAGGTTCGCGCATACATGTTTTCGCTGCCAACCATGCCATCCTGCCGTTAACACAACAGCAAGATACGCAACATGGGACTCACCTCAAAGATCCCAAAAGCTCGTCAATTTGGCTGTGGGTCAAAACCCTGTACCGCTGGCGAACGCCAAAATAGCTGGCAAATGGATGTTCCTCCCCAAAATGGGCTCGCCATAGGCCATGCAACCCACGGCCATTTGCTTGGGGGCACCTCGGACAGCTCGTCCGAGGTCCCGGGTTGGGTCCCGGCCCTGTGCGACCCGAAAACTCCGTCCAACCGGTCCTCCGAGAGATCCGCCCGCTGCCGCAGGTCCTGGGCCACCAGGCCCAGGCCCTCGCTGCAGGTCTCCAGGAACTCCTCCACCGCCAGGTGCCTAGCGACCAAAGCGAGGCCGAGGCCGAGAGGCCCGGTGGAGCCAGCCCGGGCCCGGAACCCCAACTTTTTGCCGCCCAGAGGTTGCAGCGTACTGTTTTTTGGGCCAAGGGTAGTAGGCGTAAGGATTTGTTGGAAGGAAGTTCCAGGGGGTGGCACTGGCAGAGTTGCGGTTTCCATCCATCCATCCATGTTGCTCTGAAATAGTTGGGATTGCCTCTTGCCTTGACCTTTCGCTTGCACTGACTTTACACGGTAAAACTTAAGTTGCACCACACCAATCGGGCTCCGGTCCAAAACGTGGGTGGCTATCCCCAAAGTCAACTGGATTTGGCCAAGGAGGCAGTGCACTTCCCACGATGTCCCACTCAGTGGGAAACACAAAGCGGCGCGACAAACAGAGCTTCAGAATTTCCCACCGTTGTATCTAGAGCAATTAGAAGCCTAGGACAAGATGGGCTTGTACTCCACCGATCTTTTAGAGGCAAAGACTGGGTGCATTCTGCCTCGTATTTCTGCCAGCAAGATTCTGCAAGAACATGGCTCGGTATCAAACCGGCTGGACCCAGCAAGATCGGCGATATCCTGTTGGGGTTTGCCTGGAAGCCCCCAAAAAAGGCACCCTGCAAACAAGACATGCCCACATCTCAATCTGGTTTTGTAACAAGTGTAGCCCCCCGGCATCACCTTGTCTCAGGACACAGCAAGAACACAGGTGCACGGAAATCCACCGAAGAGACACCATCCAGAGAGAGTGTTGCAACCAGGGTTCTCTTCACCAAACAGGGAAACAGGAATGTGGTCAGGTAGATTCATGGACATAGACACCTACTTCCACCCCCCCCCCCCCCACGCAAATCCAACCAGCACGAGCGGCTCACCCGCGGCAAAGGAGGGTCCAAAATATCGCCTCAGTTTGCATGCGTCTTTCTTCACGCTGCCCTTCAAACGGGAAATCACCGATAAAGGTTCTCCTGCAAGACGAACCTGTGGAGAGTTGGCCAAAAATACCAAAAGTCAGCATATACAGTTCACTTCTGGCTTGACTCGAAGAGGAAAATGATGCAGGTCTCAGCCTGTTCGACTTGAGCAAGGTGCATGGATCGTCAGTCCCTGGCGCTTCTTCCGAACCAGGTGACCCTTGCGGGAATGCCCGACATCAGTTGGATCCCCGTCCACGTCAGCTGAACCAACCCACATATAATAAAACGCAACCCAATCTCACGTCCATATACTCCGCCGACCCCGCCGACCATTTGTCTGCAATGCGGAGGCGCACAGGAAGGGTTTTTTGGCTTGCTTAGTCTCTGATACAAATGGTGTTCCGGCGTACATGGCAAAGCGTCGAAGAAATTCCGTCCAACGCCCCAACTCTCCTTCGGCACCTTCGGCCCAGCGGCATGTGTTCACTCTGGATGCGCAGCAGCTGGCGCAGCTGACGCAAGAAAGCTGCCACCTGACGTCATCTGGAGGCGGACATCTGCTGGGTCCGGGAAAAACACACCCAACAAAAAGAAAAGCACAACCCCCGCCCCCACCCGCTTCCCGTTTTGGGTGCCTGAAAAAACTAAGTAAACTAGTCGTCCCCTTTTGGTTGCCCGTTAAACTCAACCCTTCTGGGCTAGGCACCCAGTTTGAACGGGAATCAACTGGGTAAATTTATGTTTCTTCTTTGTTTTCTGGGGGGACTTGACAAACCAACATGGCCATGGGTCAAAAGCCCGTACCCGCCAGTGAACATCCCAATCCCCACTAAAATAAAGCCTAAAATGGGTGGTGCACCGAAAACCCCAAAATGGGATCCCACAACGGCTTTAACCCACAACCAGCACGAGTTGCGATCCGCAGGCATCGCCCTCTTATACCTATCGACCTGAGATGCTTCACGCAGGTTCTCCAAGCCAAAATCCGCTCCATCTGCCGTCAGGGGCAGTCCGTCGGCGCGGAATGAAGCTAACGCATAGACTCATGGGAACAGGGCGGCCACATTTTAATTGGATAAACATGGTCAACCCAACATGCGGTAAGCGAACTCTGTTGCATGGCAAAATAGCGGATATCTTGACTGCATCCTGAGTCCAAGTTTCTCTGCATCGGCTGCATCTGCATCTCTGGCGTGTGAGACTTGCTTGACATGGCATTTTCCTTCGGACAATATAGCATGGCTGCGTTCCCTCCCAGTTCGGACGCGCAACACTCATACACTCAAATCAATTTGAAGGAAAGGACTCCCTCCATGTGCAGTCATACTGGCGGTGCAGACTTTCTTCCAGAGGCTTCGACTGCAACGACACTTGTCGTGTGGCTCGGTACTGAACGCTTCTAGCACAACACAGAACCGCATCAATCAACATATGACTATGAATCAAAACCAATGGTCCCATTTTGGGGTAGGTGCACCACCCATTTTAGTCTATTTTAGTGGGGATTGGGATGTTCACTGGGGGTACGGGCTTTTGACCCCTGGCCATGTCGTGTAAAGCAGTACCACGCAGAGCAACGTCCATGAACTACACCAAGCAAAAAACCGTGGGTCGGCATTCCTCGTGCACACCAACGAGAAGACCCAACAAACTTCATCAAGGTCTCAGAGCGATCTAGACTATGTGGCTGAGAACCGGACACCAAGACCTGCCATGTCACATTGCGACTGGATTTGGGATGCCTGGGATGCTGCAGTGGCCCCCAAAACACGCGGCGCGGGCGGCAGCAAGAAGAAGGAAGGCGAATCACAGAACGAGAAACTTGAAGCGAGGCTGCTTGTGTTAGTTAGGATGGCCAGGCGGAAGACATGGATGGGCACTGGCAACCACACCGCATCCTTGAATTCGATACTGCAAAGTTTGCGGACAATCCTAATCAGCCTCACTGTCACTCATACAGGTTTGCAGAGGTTGGTACCCCGTTTGGGGCTCTGACTTTCATTCAGCGTGCTTCTTCTTTGTCTCAGAGGGAAAACACCCATTTTCCGTTGCTTTGAAGATCACAGTCCCAAACATGAATCTCCCGAAAGCCGGCAAGAGCCATCGGTTTTCCAAGCCCCAGAATCTGCTCCAAGAAATCCCCTCACCCATCCAAAGCCGAAGTGCGATGCCTTGAGCAGGTTCTCCTGCTTCGCCGATGGCAGCAGCCCCTTTTCCCAGGCCACCAAATCCAGCAGTGCCTCCGCACGCGAGCGCCGCAGGCCCAAGTGCCTGCGCCCATCGGACGAGTCGTCTTTGGGCCGTGGGGCTGGAGCCGTTCTGTTTGGGATGGGCGCCAGGTTTGGGTGGCGGAAAATGCTCGAATCTTAAAAGTGTTTGGTACGGATGGCGGTCTGTTCTGGTTGACATACACTTGACGTTTAAGGGCTTTCCGGGATTAGAGCTTCATAAGGCTGGGTCTTGGTTGGTTCTGGCTGGCGTGCATCAACCGCTCACACTTCAGTATTGCAACACACGTAATTGCGACAAGAACCAGCTAAGGTCGATCTCAATCAAGGACATTGACTCACTGTTGCAATGGCTCATCCATATTGAGAATCCATCAATCAAGACCGCTGCCTGATGTAGAAGTTGGAGCTGTCTGCGTGGAATTGGAACTTCCAGTGATCCTCAAGGGCCGCTCTCAGTTGCACACTGCCTGATGCAATGTTCTTGTAGAACACCTTTGGCGGCTTCGATGCAAGACAACTGCAACACACACACACACACAAACAGGTGGCCACAAGTTGCGGACCTGACTTGGCAACTTGTGGCTGAACCCTGACGCATAGCAAAGGGCTTCCTTGTCAGCCCTTTGGTTTCCGAAGCTCCAAAATTCGTCAGACCCATGCAACCATTAGGCGGTCCGCCCAAAACCCTTCAGTGGCTTCGCACGTGGAGAAACTCCACGAAGGACCTGAGGCTCAGGGACAACCTCCCGTATCCGGTGGGTAATTGGCATGGGCTGGATTCTTGGCTTCTGGTTGTTCCCTGCCTACCTGGTAAACCGCGGAACGCCACAGGATGTGTGTCATCTTGTTGAATGGATATGTAGGATCAGCTTTCTATGATCGAAGCCGCAAACTCTGCCAGAAGCAGTCTCAAATCATTCAGCTCGTGCAGCGGTTCGGCCTCTTTGAAAAACAGCTACCAATGTGACTGCACAGCTTGATGCTCAGGTGATCACGCATCAGCATCAGCATCGGCAGCATCAGCATCGGCAGCAGCAGCAGCAGCAGCAGCATCGGCAGCGGCAGCATCGGCAGCAGCAGCATCGGCAGCGGCAGCAGCAGCAGCAGCCTCCTGGTCATCGTCATCATCATCTGTTGAAATCTGGCAGATGTGGCCTCGTGCGTCAAAAGTCGAGCACGAGTACTAGGAGTGTGTTGCCAAAAAAGAACATCATAAGCAATCTGTTCTGGTGGTTGTTGGTTGCTGCCTCCGCCGCCGCTAGGGCTGCTGTACCTTCTGAACGTGCCCTCAAACGCTCCTTCTGCAAGATGGTCATCAAGTACTCCAAGCAGCCTGCTGTGTCCTGCAGGGTTGGATCTGGGAATCACCCCAGAAACATGTAAGGAGCTAATTGGCAAGCCATAGGCAAGCGACGGCCAGAACCTCTCTGACAACAAAACGGGATGCACCGAGTCTTTCCGAGTGTCTGCCAACCTTACACATCCTTGTGCGCCGCCACAATCTCTCCACTTCTACTCTGCCTGCTTCACTTTCCCACGCAGTGCTCATATTCAACCATGTTAAAGTCACAGAAGGACTTCTTCAGAAATTGTTGAGGATGCAAACCGCAAACTGAAAGGTGACCGTATGTGGATACTTGGATTACACTGCAAGGGTCATGTGCACACGAACTCCACCTGGCTGATGGCTGGCTTGCTTGACTAACATCTTCAAGAAGCCCCTTTGCCCCACGCCACGAGGTTGCTGTTCGTCATGGTAATACCCTTCCACATACTGAACACCGCTATTTTCTTTGCATCCCTGGTCCATTGACTCACCCACCGGAAAACCTGCGGACGCCTTGCTGCAAGCCATGTTCCATCTTTCGGTGCGCTTCCGTCTCTTTTCCAGGTGTAAGTTCAAATCCAAATGTTGCCCCGATATGGATCATGACAGCACCCGTGCATAGGTACGGTAAGCAGCGGTATGCATTCCGCAATTGTTCATACGGCTGTCGGCTTTTAGCACAGGTCTTATGGTGGGCAACCTTGCACAGGGGCGCAGAAGTGGGAGGATGGGGTAGGAATGGCAGCCTTTTAGCACGACTCGAACCGAAAAGCCGGCACCAAAGCATCCAACTAAACACAACCATCCGGAAAGTGAGCATACACCCGTCCTGAGACTTGCCCTGCCAAAGATGCTGAACACTGCCGACAAAAGAGCTTCACTCCAGCTAAATGCGAGGGCTTGCGCAACTACGAACGCAGCTGATCCAGCGCTGCTAGGTTGGCTGCAAGCTGCGCATGAAAGCAGCGAGGACTATGTGGGGTCCTCGCTCGCTGGCCGGCTCAAGCCTTCCTGGCAACTGCCTGCGCTTCGCCCAGTGGGCATTCAAAACGGGGACGAACTACTCGGGATCCACACGCTTAGGACACACCAACCTGAAACCACCGTTCCTCGCTCGCGCCGCTCGGCGCTCCGCTCCTCCGCCACCTGCGCCAGCGCATTGGCCGAGGCCCAGAGCGCCGTGTGCCTCTCCACAGATTGGAAGCTCCAAGGCTTCAGGCCCAGGGTCAGCACGGAGAGCAGCACGGCCAGAAGCACCAGCCAGAATCCTGCGGTGATCCCTTTTGTTTCGAGGTGCTTCTGTTTTCCTAAGATTGATTTGTCCTCTTAAGATGCAGATGACTTAGATTGACATGTCCTAAGATGCATATCCTCAAGAGGATAGGTTGTTTGTAGATCATGGTATCAAACTTTACCACAAACATTACTCACGAGCAACTACGGATGGTCCGGATGGTCTGGATGTTGTCTGAGTTGATTAAAAGCAACAGAAACGGGTGAACATCTTTGCTAAACAAATACACACAAATTGTCTGCGCTGACCTGCATGTTGATATACTCTCGGGTCTTGCAACACTTGCTTGTCGACTGGCAGCAAGCTGTCCCCTACCTCTGCTGGATGGCCTTCAATTTAGAACTGGGTAAAGAGTCAATATTGACCGTGCGATTCCGCCTTCAACATCTCCCGTCGTCAATTCCACGCAAGCTGCACTGGCACAACTTGAACTGCTCTCTGTCCGCGACCAGTTTGGATTCATCCAGTAACTTCGCAGCAGATACGTGCAGCTGAGATTCCGCACATGGCCGCACCATTCCAGTTCCAACTGAAGTCCCAGTCCCAGCAAACCTGAGCAGAACATTGAGCCCGCAGCGCGGCATGGAACAAGAAAACGAAACAAGGCATCCGGGCCAGGGAACGGACCGCCCGCGGCCCGCGGCCCGCGCTGCCGCCAACACTGGCAGGCCCTTCCTAACGCCCTCCAAAAGCCAAACTTTCCAAACTTTAGCCCCGAAAAGCGAAAATTTCCTGCGGGCTCCGCGGCTCCGCGTGCGTTTCTCCTCGAGGGCCCGGCCGCCCGGAAGCCCGTGCGGGTCTGGGGGTTCATGAAGGGAACCAGCAGCTCGGAGAAGAGGCCTCGGTGCATCTGGCTTTTGAGTTAAACTGGCGGTGGGTTTTAAGCCAAACGACACACTAAAGCAATACTCACTTCCTGAGTGGACTGGCCAAACATTGCCACTTTGTGGTCTTCCCAAAAGAAGCTTGAAGTCCGGGAAATCAGGAAGTGAAGGTTTTGCGTGTTTACATAATTTTGGGGGTGGTTCAAACATTTCCGGTCCGGCAAATCGTTCAAACCTTCATTTACAGGGGAGGCAGCAGGTAGCTGCTCAAGCTGATGTTTGCACATTCCATGCCGGGTTGGCTCAAGCCTGGTATCCAGAGCTTTGTCACCTGAGGCCAGGAAGCCGCGCCTAAGGCGTACTGCTTCTTGCCCACGCTGAGCTTGCCTTGGCTACAAGCTGGAACTGCGTTTTTTGCCGTTTTGCTTGGACCCTTCAGCAACTTCGCATGTGCAGTTGGCATCCTATTCTGTTCGAAATGGAGTGTTGGCCAATGCTAGTCCATTGTCCCAATTGGATGAAACCACTGCAAAAGGGTTCCCTTTCGCACCCCAACTTAAGAATGTTCTTTGAGCCCAGCTATTTGGGGCCATCACAACATGCAGCACTCAGCGGGCACTCAACCTCCAGGATCTGTTTCTTTGGGCGGCCAGGATGCTGAAGAAGAGGCCGTAGGTGAAGCACAGGGCGAAAAGGAAGGCCCCTGTGGTGGAGTACCTTAAGGGCAGCCAGGCCCTCTCGAAGTACTCACCCGGCAAGTAGTGAGGACCCCCTGCTCCGCCGGGCATCAGTAGATTGATGAGACCTCTGATGGGGCGACGCAGCAGAAAGGCTGCAATGTTGCCGGTTGGCCCCCTCAACTCCCCCCCCCCCCAGTTTTCCAAGTTCAACCGCATCTGACAGCTTTGGGGTCTTAGCCCAGATAGGCTCCGGGGTGGTCCGGGGCGGCCCTGAGGTAAGGTTCCACGAGGGTTTCACCAGAGGGTTCCACCAGAGGGTTCCACCAGAGGGTTCCACCAGAGGGTTCCACCAGAGGGTTCCACGAGGTTCTGCAAGGGCAAAACTTATCATCCCAATGCGAAAAGATGAGACTAAGAGGTCCCCGAGACAGCGTGTTTGGCAGCAACATGGCTACCGGGGACGGGAATCCTCCAGTATGCCAGGCAGCTCATGGTCAACGCATGACCAGGCTGCTCATAAGAGTATGCTGTCAAGGTTAACGGAAAGGGCTAGGCCGCTTCCCTTGAAACAGCAAGCTCTTCCCGACGACTCTGCACAATTCCCAATGCTTTCAAAACCCGGAATGCGTGAACTACAGCATCCACAAAGAAAGGCCCTACATCATGAGCCCGTTTTGCCCCCAGAGCTCGCCATGAGCTCATACCAAAGGGAGATTTCCGTTTGCTCAAGTCCCCTGGAAAAACCAAACTTTTTTCAACTAGTGATGAAGATTGCGTTTAAACCAATCGGGGAATATAAAGCATATTCTTAAGCAAATGGAGGGAGACAGATCCCACCGGACCCCGGCTCCGGTTTCTTTGCCGCAGGGCTTGCGCCGGCAAGGCCAGTGCCGACGCCGAGGATTGCATCGTGGATGGCGCTCGCGAGGCCACCCAAGTAGGGAGTCAGAAGGAAGGCGTACCTTCTGCACAGAGATTGGTTGTGAGGGGAAACACCTTTCAGTGATGCCAAAAGTCGACCATCCCTAAGACTACTTTGTCGCTTCAAAGGAGGCCAACTTCTGCAGAACCGTCTCCCTCAAGCCGTCTCAAGTTCTAGGTGCAATTGACACTTCCAACATCTGCGCCGGGAAATCAGCGAACGAGAAACCAACCGAGCACGATTCTCTGAGTCACACCAGCTGGGGCTGTCGCCGGTAGGAGACCCTACTAGAGGCATTTGTTGGAGACCCCAACTTTGGCAAGGTTCCGAATCGGGACTGTAACAATTCTCAGGCTTTGGAGACAACCTAAGGCCTTGGGCGGTCCAACCAGAGCTCCAAAGCTGAGAACCCACCTTTTGGAAGCTCATTGGGCAACACCTTCCAACGAGATGAGGGTCAAATGGTGCCTAGACAGGAAACGATTTACCATGTGTTTGTTTTGGGGGGGCGAACACTGACCATCACGTGCAGTCACTTGAAGGTTTGCTGATTGGTGCGCGGCTCCTGCAAAACAAAAGCAAGGGGGAGGGGGAAGTGGCTGCGAAAATATAGGAGCCACCCGCACGTTTCTTGAGGGTCAGCTCCTTGCTTGGTGCCAAAGGATCATTCAAGCACCTGAATGAACGCTGATATCCTATGAGTGGGGTTGCACCGTCGGCAAAGATTTGCCAAGGCCCTTCCAATAGCTGGTTGCTTCTGGATTCGTTCCAACATTGTTGGACAAAGCTTCTTTAGTTATGACTCGGTCATGACACATTCCCAGGCGCCCGTTGACCTTGCAAACATTGTAAGGACAAAAACAGCGCCATTTCGGCTGTGAAGCACCTTCTGGCGGAAAATTGTTGCGTGCAGGTTTGGTGCTGCAAAGACCTTTTGCGGAATGTCGGTTTACATTGTACAAGCATTGAATGAAATGGAACTCCCGGGAAACAAGGGTCATTCCACTTGTACAAGTTGCCCTCGGCTAAAGCGCTAACGCCATTGGGCAGGGTGTCCAACATCAAATTGCATCAAATTGGTGCTACTGTTCCAATAGGGCTTTCAAAAGGCGACAAAAGCACTCGCCCGCTGGCCTTCCAGAAACCCCAAAAGGCCAACAAAAAAAGCCAGCCCCGGGGTCTCCCGCCAGAAGGGCAGGTAGTGGAAGATCCGCATGAGGTTCGTGGGGATCAGCCAATGGCTCGGGCAATCTGCCCAACCCAGCTGGGCCTTGGGTCGCAGTTTTTGGGCTGAGCAAACGGCGCACGGAGGGCGTTGTCGGCTTAGGGCTTAGGGCTAAAACATGTGGTCCCCGTTGGTTGTGGCTTTCATGGCCTGCCAAAGGCGCAATGATTTGCTCGTCTTTGTGCTCTCTCAGCGATATAACCTGGTGATATGTTCTGTCTGTACGGAGATCCTGAAGGATCAGAATATGTTGTGGACGCACTGATGTCCTAGCGCACGGCATTACCTTGTTTGTCTCAATTCCTGAGTGGACTGGCCAAACAAAGTTCATTTTCTTCCAGTAAACTGGTCTTCCCAACAAGCTTATAAGTCCAGGAACTCAGCGAGTGAGTTGTGGAAGATGCAGGCAATGCCCGCTTGCATCGGGAAGTCGCAAGGGAGCCCCCGCTGGCGGTTCTGCTCCGCTTTACCCTCGAGCAAAGATTCGCTTTGGCGGGTTTAGCTTTGCACTCTCACACACCTATTCCCAGAGGGTCCAAGTACTTCATGAGGATGGCTTTTGGGGGGTTACCTTGAGCACACATAACGTTCAAAGGCACGAAATCCTTGGTCTGTGCGCCATATATCTAAAGATGCCGTTGCCGAACAGTGCAGCTTCTTTGCGCGCTTGAGAATAAAACGATCCCCTGCAGATGGTATGAGAGGAACACATGCTACCACTAAGGACATCAACTTGCTCAAGTTATCCTCACCTATGCTAAGACACTGGTTCTCATAGTGAACATCCCACCAAATGGCCCAACCGGACTCGCCCCACTAGAGCCGGCCGAGCGGCAACCTTTCGGACCAAAGCCACGGGTGTGTTTGTCACAGAAATCGGTCGGCTAACATGCTTAGTTTCTTTGTTTCCTTTTTGCCCCCCTTTCAATATCAACCAAAAGTGGGACCAGGATTTTAAGAAACAAGTTTGTCTACAATTGTTGGTTTCCTGTCGGTTTCTTTCCTGCCAACCGAAAGGGGCTCGATTCATGAGAAACGCCCCACGGCGCCTGCTCGCAGGGGAAGATCAGCGGCAAGGCCCCGGAGAGGACATACAGCGCCGCCGATCGCAAAGCAAGGGCATACTGCAGCTGCGTATCGCCTCAAATGGCCATGGGCCAAAACCAAAAGCCCGTACCGTCCGTGAACATCCCAATCCAACCACTAAAATAGGTTCTAAAATGGGTGGTGAATTCACCTACCCCAAGATGGTACCATTGGTTTTGACCCACAGCCAAATCATTCCTATTCCAGGTACCATGTACCAACACTTGACCCATTTGGAGGGCAAATGAGTCTGGCTTTTTCTGAAAGTACCACGTTCTTGTTGTTTTCTAAGCAAAACCAAACCGAAAGCCGCCGTTTTGGCGGGCTTTCTAACGAAGACATGCTCAAATGTGGGTAACGTTCCATACACGGAGGCTTGCGTCAGAAGGAGAAAGAAGATTGGTTGGGGCATTCAAATCCGCAGAATCCAAGCCATACGTTTCCGCCCAAAACAAAGTTGACGCCTATGCGTGCCGGCCAACAGGTGGCTGGAATCGGAGATGAGACGGCTCGCGAACCTAGCTCACAACTGGTTAACTTGTTGTGGAACGTGATTGGGCCATGCCAGAGCAAGAACTAGCGATATGAGAATCACTCCATGTGACAGGTGCCTGCTTGCTTTCCATGGGGCGTCTATGTTGGACTTGCACCATGGCCTGTTGCTTCATAATCTTGGTGCCTCTGCCTCATGCGGAACACATCCCCTGGCAAATGAGGGATGACCACCGAGTCTTCGTTTTTCTGGCGTGAAACAACCACGACCGCTTTTAAAACGGGTACCTTCAGAAGGCCCCCGCTGTCTTACACCCAAATTCATGAACTGCCGAAGCGGCTGGAGGCGTGGCCCGGCCTGAGCACCGCCGAGCTTTGCGAAGCAGCCGATCCCATTTTGCAGTTCTGGGGGAAGCCAATGTGTGACATGACCTGTTTGGTTTTTCCTTTCATCCACATTTGTGCCCGGCTCCATTTTGGCTCTCGCCTCAGAAGCCGCAGGCTGCGCCACAGGAAAATCAGCAGCAACGATGCTGTGCTGAAGAGAGCGGCCAGACTAAACGTCTCCATTTAGAAGACAGCGGACAAAGCAAGCAGCTCCATTGGTGTGGGCGGGATTGGACTTGGGAGAAGTTCCAATGCTGTCTGTTGGGGACTATTGCTCCTTGTGTGGCAACATGGTGTCCTGAACCATGCCGACTTATCCCTAAGAGAAGCTCTTCCATACGCACTGTTCAGGTAGTTGGCTTTAACCTTGTGGCAACTAAGTTCTTTCGAGGCCAGCTTTGGCAGCATAGTTTCAAGGGTAAAGCAAACGACACCCATTCATCAAGGGGGTGACAAACCGGCCCCAGCCCTGTATTCCTCGAGGGCTTGACTTTGTGCCATGACAAGGATTGAGCCCGTACAATCTGAAAATCCGTCAGGAGCGGCGATTTGCGTCAGTGTGCCAAGGGGAAATAGGCACAACTCAAACGAAATAGTTTCATCATGGAACCCGAAGGGGGGCCATGGCGGATACTCCAAAGGCGCAGGAGAGCTGTAGGAATGCGCTGCGGCTTATCAAGGGCTTATTGAGAAGCTATGAAGGGCTTCTCAATGGCTTATCCAATGCTTATCCATACCTTGTCACAAGCTTATCCGAAGCGGCTCTTAAGGAATGATTGTCAAGTCTAATTCAGTGTTTTTAAGCGCTGAATCAACGCCAAAGGAGAAGCGTTGGAATAAGGTTTGGATTATGGTTTGGATAAGCAGTGGATATGCCACGAACAAGCCCTGAATAATCCGCAGCGCATTCCTGCTATCTTGCGCCTATAGATAAGCTGAACAGCTCCCCATCGCCCCGCTTTGGGTCCATGATTTCAGCCCTGGTGTGTTTCTCAACAGCCCCCCATGTACGGCTAAATTTCATGTCCTGAGTCATAACCCACCCGCAAAATGCAGGTGTATCTCGCCATTGCCTCGCACTTTTTGCACGAAAAGCAGGGTGTTGAGTACGACTTGGCGCGGCCCTCATGCTACTTCTCAGGCCGTGATTGAACTCTTTGAATCAGCTCCGAAGTTGAAAGCCCTTCAAAGCGGGGCAATGCGACAGCAATGCCCATCTTGCGAGGAACTTTGTAGTAGGGATCGTCATCTGGATCTGGGTATCGCGCAAAATATTCCTCGCCTACACCCTGCACGTGGATGTTGTGCGCCTTCAGAAACTCCTCCGTCATGCCGAAGCAAGGTGCATTGGGAATGACTTTGTCAACACCTTTGCATCCGAGAACTTGAGCTTCGCGCTCCGCAGCAGTCATGATTGGCGGTCGTTTGTAGCCATTTGCATCCTTGTCGCCAACAACCCCAACAAACACATGGGTGCCCAGCTTCGACGCATTGCGGAAAAGGTTTTGGTGACCTATGTGGCACATGTCAAAGATGCCGTCCACATAGACATTTTTTCGCTCGGGGCTGGGAATGTCCCCACTTTCATCCTCTCGGGGTGGCACAGCAGGAATTGGATCTGCTGCCTCGGAAGGTGAAGCACTAAGGCTCCAGTCCGGGGACATTCTTGCGCGTATGCGCTGGATAAGCTCCGAAGTTGAAAGCCCTTCAAAGCGGGGCAACGAGACAGTGATGCCCATCTTGCGAGGAACCTTGTAGTAGGGATCGTCATCTGGATTTGGGTATCGCGCAAAATACTCCTCGCCTACACCCTGCACGTGGATGTTGTGCTCCTTCAGAAACTCCTCCGTCATGCCGAAGCAAGGTGCATTGGGAATGACTTTGTCAACACCTTTGCATCCGAGAACTTGAGCTTCGCGCTCCGCAGCAGTCATGATTGGCGGTCGTTTGTAGCCATTTGCATCCTTGTCGCCAACAACTCCAACAAACACATGGGTGCCCAGCTTGGATGCATTACGGAAAAGGTTTTGGTGACCTATGTGGCACATGTCAAAGATGCCGTCCACGTAGACGTTCTTGGTTTCCAGGCCTGACCCGTGACAGGTGCGAGCACTCTCTTGCAGCCACGGTGGCTAAACCACGCGTCGCTGGATAGAAACTGAAACATTTGGGTGAACACTCAAACACACCACCATCAAGCAATCTCAATCTTTGGCACCTGTCAAATTGTCAACCTGTGCCAAATAAAATACATCAACATCTTCAGTGATTCAGAGTCAAGGGAGTTCCCAGGGTTGGCAGCGCAAATACATGACCCCGAAAGTTTGCCCCAGCCACACCCCTCAGCACGCCTTCGGCGCCATCGCGCGCCATCCGAGCTGGTGACGGCTCACAGCCGATGCAACTGCTTTCTGCTGGCCTGAAACTGAAGCAACTGCGGAACCGGGCGAAGGCTCCGTGGAGTGAAATACTGCTCCATGTTTGTGTGGGTTGCGCTATGCCAGGCTGAAGCCTAGGTATGGCGCTGTCTGGCGCACTGAGAGTGCCAGTCCCGGCACATTTTCAGACTCTCTCCGTGACGTTGCAACCACTCAGTTTCTCGATCCTCTCAGAAACTCCTTACAGTCCTGTACTTCCCTCATGATCTAGTGCTCAACATGGGCTTGTCGAGAACCAGGAACCGCCCCCTCGACTTTCGTCCAGCTGATTGAGCTCAAGCCCGTTTGGGGGGGGGGGGGTTCTAAACCATCTCCGCCATGTTTTCCCGCTTTTCTGACGGCCCACGCCCACACATCCACCCCCTCTCAAGCAACTTTTCGCACGAAAGGCACCGAAAGACCGTCACAGAAGATCCAGGAGCTCAACTAGCCTGGCGAAACGACGATGACGCTCGTTGGAACTGACGCCTTCACATCTTTTTTCTTTCCGGAACTGCTCCCACCGTTTGACTCACCTTGGTCAATGATTGGCCATTTTGAAGTCCCTCACTTGACGATTCTGGCTGTTTACAATGGTTGACCAAATCTGCAGGCCTGCTTTAGCCCTCACGGAGGTTGTGACTTGCCCGTTGATTTCCTGCAATATTTCTTCTGGCATTCACTCCGAATGGCGGGCACACACTAAGCCCGACGAGCAAGGGCTGGTTGACTTGACAGCATGCAGCGAACACCCAATAGCCTTCCACAGTCTTGCTCTCTTCAATAACGTCATCATCCTCAGGATATGTCTCAAGCAATAGACGCCAGGCTGTGGTGAAGCGACCCTCTCGCTTCAAACAACTGCAACTTTCGAGCTGGCGGTGGTCCCATGCCTCTGCCGTAGCGTTGGGCCACCTTCCAAAGAAGTGGCCTGGCAAATCTTCCAGAGAATTGCAAGATGTGGCAGATCTTGTAAGCATGAATCAAAACAAATGAAGTGAACCAAAATAGAGCACAAGTCGCAAGCCTACAACCATCAAACTTCATCATCGCTTTTTCCTTTCAGTTGTTTCAGCGAGGGGGAGGTCTTAGCTATCCCCAACTGACGTGACAGTTGAATTCAGGGGTCTTCAAGTCGGCAACTCAAAGGACCTCAGGATGAGCGCATCTCACCGGCGAAGTTGTTTCACATTTGACAGAAACACGCGCAACTATGCGCCTTGGACACAACCCCAAAGAGCCGGCCACTTTAGCTTTTGTTACACCCCCGCCACTCACCAACATTGAACCTGTGGGAATCTCCCAAATGGCGTCTTCTTTTGACTGCCGCTCTCGGTCGGATATGATGATTCACCGATTCAACGAACTTCCAAGTGGGAATCCATTGCTTCTAGTTGCTAAGTACCCTGGAAACAAAAAACAACAATTCCACTAGTGATAGACTTCCTTCTACAAACCAACAGGGAAAAATACTCATATTCTTAAACAAATGGAGGATTAGGTCAGTTGACCAGGTCACCATCTTCCAAAGAGACCGATCCTCTACGAATACAGCAAGGAAGTGGCACTTGGTCTTAAAGCCCTGGCAAATGGAACCAAGGACTCAAACGCGGGGTCCCTGGTGGTTTAATTTTGGACCCATATGGATTATGTTGCTGCTTTGGCAGTAAACTCACACCCACTTCAACAGCCGGGGGAGCGGGTCGCTGAAGACCCGACCAAAACATGTATGACTTGTACAAATAGGTACTTCCGGTGCCCAACCACACCAACCGCACAAGAACAGCATGTGCACACAAATACGGTAGCATGATGTTCGGTCATTTTGGCGGATTTCCCAGGGAGACAAAAGCAGGCAAGCTGCGTCTTTCCCTTTCCAGCGTGAGAGTTTGTCCAAACTCCTGTTCAAAGCTGCCTGCAGGGCTTTGCCTCCCGGAATGCCTCAAAATCCCCAGAAAGGGATGTCCCCATGGTGGTTCAACCAGCAAACGCTGGGTGGCACAAACGGCTGGGCCAAGCCCAACATTTGCCACCCATCCAAATTGGCAGCCGGAATGGCCCATCGGCACTTTGCGGGCACCCGGGGTGCATCCTCTTCACCTAGTCAGGTGCTCAGCCCCCTTAAAGGGATTCACACAAACGGTGATCATCTTTTAAGCCATATGCAAACCAAAAAGGGGGGCTCCCAGAAAATGAAAAGGTCGGCGACCTTCAATGGGACACGTTAAAGTTTACGCTTCCGCCCATTAACATCATTTAACCTAATGAGAGGTAATGTTTAGCAACACCAGAAGGTGACGTTGGCAGTGCGAACAAAGATTCAACATGCAGTGTTCCTGCTTCCCACAGCTAGCAACACTGCGACGCTTGGTGATAACTCTGGGTTGTGTATACTCATGTGCCGGTCAAAGTCATCCAAGTATGGGTCTGTGTCAAAATAGGGGCCCCAAAATGGTGGATTTCCTATTGGATTCTCGTTGAGCTTCAAACAAACACAAACCCATATAGAGTGGGCCATAGGTGCCACAGCAGAAAGCAACCGGGGCCAACAAAAGCGGCACGCATTTGTCACAGCCAAGCGGCTTTCGGCAAGGACAAAAAGGTTTGCTACGCCCATCTGGGATTGTCTCTTTTTTGGGCACCCGCAAAATGGTGGGTTTCCCTTTTGCCTTCCCTTTAAGACCATGCAATAAGAGCACCTTCAAAAAAACACCCACCCATTTTCTGAGGATTCCCCTGCCCCCAGATGTTGTGGGCAGGCATGTCGTGCCGGCTTTCCCCAGCTTCAAGCTTCCAAGGATCGGATCCCACTGGAAGACCATTTCTCCATGAGCGATGCTTGGGATGGTTGTGGTATTCACCAGTCACTGGCCTGTTTCGGATTCCAGAGGTGTCATCACTGCGACTCAAACAAGCCAGGCTTTAAAATGCCCCAAACCACCTGAGAAAATGACAGCTCAACACTTCCAGATGGCTAAGCCATGGGCCGAAAATGGAAGCCACGTGCGTTCCGGCCCTTTCCGCTTGGGACGGCCGCTGCGGGCTCTCTGATCGCGCTCGGGCCCCAGGCTCAGCTGCCGCAGCGACTCTTTGGGCTGCCTCACGCGGTGGGCGTGGCTCACGAGGAACTTTTTCCAGAATAAACGTGGCTCAACAAAATGGAACCCTGGTAAATGGACAGGTAGACTAAAATTCGCGTAACCCCAGTTGCAAGATTTTGAGCCACACCCGGGTGAAAGTGGAGGGCACGTTTCCATTGTGGGTACCCTCTGACCAGCCTTACATGGAACCTGACATAGAGGGGCCCTGGAAGACCAGTTTCCTTTTATAGGGCCGCCCTGGCAGGTTCCATGTTGATTGGTGGGAATGGAGAACTTGTGCCATCCACTTTCACCCGGCTGTGGTTCCCTCCGTGCCGTTTGGCCAGACTTGATGGGGATCCAACTCACAAGAAGCGAGTCGGAAGCGGGATGCACGGGGGCACATGGAAGGAAAACCGCAAAAGTTCAGTCTGGCAATGCCTTTGAGCGTTCTCACGTAGCTGGAGCCAACCACTACGAGTAGCTTGAATAGCTTAACCCTAGACTTCGTGTGGCTTGTGGCCAACGCAACTCACTGATTTGCACCCGTTTCAGTGATCAAGCTCGGGCGCGATGAAGAGAATGTTGAATGTTGCTGGCACATGGTGATTTCCCCAAGCCCCGTCACAATTGAGATGTGCAAGGCCCGGGTC